ATCATCCTACGTGAACGGCATCCATTAGCCAAAGAGCAAGGTCGAGGATGCGAAACGCGAAGACTGTGGTTGAGACAGGAACACTGACTAGTATAAGAAGCAGCGTTCCAAACGCAACGCTTGGACGAGAGTTCATGAGGAAAGTTTGGAGAAGAGAAAGAGCGTCACAAATAGTAGCGTCGTAGTTGCAATATAAACGTTTTTCCCAATGCATCCAATGGCTAGGAGGTTCGTAGTTTCGCTCAACCATTTTCATCTCGTGGATCCGTTTCCTAAGCACCACCATGTTCTCGTCCACCACTTTTCCTCCTCTATAGTAGTCCGCACGCACGGTGGTTCGTCTTCTTTTGGTTCCGGCGACGATCTTCCGTGGCGTCATCAATGGTTGGAATCTTAGTACTGGCGACGATGAGATCAGTGTGGCTTCCATTTTTGTCTGTGTTTCTTAGGAGACAAGTTGATGGGTGGGTATTTTCTCTTATTTATAAGGGAATTATTTGGATAAGTTTAAATAAAAGTGGCTATAAAGTATAAAGATTATTACTTTGGAATTAAGAAATGAAATAAAAATGATTTAACGCGTTGTCCTTCTCGTAATATTGATGGGGACCACATCATCCTCACGTTCCTTCCAATTTCATTTTCGTTTCTTGTTAATTTCAGCTACACGTCTTTTACAAATTTTTGTCGACACGGACATTTCAAGGTTTAGTTTTTATATGTGTACATTTTGATTAAACTTGAAGCTCCGAAGAAAAAAGATGATCGGAGTTAATTTGGATATAGTGCTATCATTTTATAAATGTCAATTGCATTGCACTCTCTTCGTAATTATCAACCAATATGTCCATTGACCTTTACTTTGTTTACTTTATGTATTTACTCCCAACAAAAACGTACGAGTCGGTGACGTTATGATTAGTTTAGTCATGGGTTTATTTCATAGTTTATTATTTAAGAAATAATGGTAAGGTGGTGGTGATATAATAAGTCGATCAAACGATTGACACGGATTATACACTGAAGCCCAATGGGCTTCATAGTCAATTTTTAAGTAAGCCCAACATTGACGATCATCGCAGCCCTAATTTCTCCCAATGTACACTATAAAGTTACTAGTTTCACAATGTTACAAAACAGCCGTCTTTAGGGTTCCGATTCAGTTTGGTTTCAACCTTAAGCAGATAGAGGCTACGTGTTTTAACGATTAGACCTCGAGA